CCCTTGTGCAGCTTTGTGCATAATTAAAAACGAACAAAACAAACGGACCTTCAGGAAGCAGAATTATGGGGCTTAAGGGCAAAACTATAGGGCAAAAAATTAGCCAAAAGTTTTTTAGTCAAATCAAAAAATTATACTCGGGTGAACACTCTCAGAATTCCCTTAATGTGCGTGCATAGCTTCGGGTCTCTATGGTCTTTTCCCTTGGAGCTATGGCGGTCACAGGCGGACAGGCTCTTTTATTATTATACATAATGTAAGACAGAGAAATAAAAAACAAATGTATTCAGCTGGATCATAATTTGATCTAATATTATTATTTCTTTTGGTTTGGTCTAATATATAATACAATCTAAAAATCATTCATTGCTTCAGTTTCACTAAATACTTTGTATCAGTCCAATTTTACTTCTAACGTAAACACCAAAACACTGACGTTCTTTAAGTATATTTTCACGGACTTTGGTACATGTTATATAAGTTTTACCCTGTCCATAAGGCTATTTGGTACATTTACATAGGTTTTATGTGGTACATGTCATATAAGCTTTTTATGGTCCATGAGGCTATTTGGTACATGTTATATAAGCTTTATGTGGTCCATAGGCTATATGGTACAGATTACATAAGCTTTATGTGGTCCATAGGCTATGCGGTACATGCTATATAAGCTTTATGTGGTCCATAGGCTATATGGTACAGATTACATAAGCCTTATGTGGTCCATAGGCTACATGGTACAGATTACATAAGCTTTATGTGGTCGATGAGACTATTTGGTACATGTTATATAAGCTTTAAGTGGTCCACGAATCCACTTGCTACATTTATATAAGCTTCGTGTGGTCCATGAGGCTATTTGGTACATGTTATATAAGCTTTAAGTGGTCCACGAATCCACTTGCTACATTTATATAAGCTTCGTGTGGTCCATGAGGCTATTTGGTACATGTTATATAAGCTTTAAGTGGTCCACGAATCCACTTGCTACATTTATATAAGCTTCGTGTGGTCCATGAGGCTATTTGGTACATGTTATATAAGCTTTAAGTGGTCCATGAATTCACTTGCTACATTTATATAAGCTTCGTGTGGTCCATGAGGTTATTTGATTCATTTAGTTTTCATTTTCTGACCTCTGTGCTCGTGTATTATTGCACTCACGGCGTTATTAGATATGTAAGCATATTTCCCATATTGTTACAACCTAATCAGTGTGGATGTTTATTTTCCCTCTTCGCCACGTGTTTTTTCTTCACATTTTGTGAGATAATAAGTTGTCTCCTTTTACTCAGATCTGAACAAGTATAAATTCATAGAAATATCATACCTAAAAAAAAAAAAAAACCCTTTAAAAATGTTTTCTTATTAAAAAATTGTATGACACTCTATTCTGCGATTTTTCATTTAATTTCTAGAGATCACATCGCCTCGAGAAAAATATCAGGTACAGAATTTTCACCACAAGAATAAGGAAATGTGCTTCAATAATGAAGAATACAACTGTATGAATAGTGAAGTATGTATCCACGAGGTGTCGCTGTGTAATGGGATCTCAGAGTGTCCTCATGGTGATGATGAAAGCGCACTTATATGTGGTAAGCAATTACTGATTATATATATATATATATATATGATAAAAAATTATAGGCTCTGTGGGTGCTTCTAACTGGGTTTAAGTAAATATTTTGTAATGCCAACAATGACAAACGTTTTTAATTTTTGACAGTTCAAACAATTTAGCACAACGTACAATTGCACACACACATAAAAAACTATAATAAAAACACTAAATGAAATACAAAGATATTTTGAGGACTGAATGTAACTATCTTGAAAGTAATGATATGTGGTGATCTTAGAGTGCCATAGCCAGTATTTTATAGAGCAGCTGAACGATTAGATACGAGTCTGGTGTGTATACTACTTTGTATAAATCTGCTGTAACGTTATACTTTGTATGTATTACAGAAAAGATCAGGATGTAACAATATACTATGTATATATTACAGAAAAATTCTGGATGTAACACTATACTATCTAAATATTACAGAAAAGATCAGGATGTAACAACATACTATGTAAATATTACAGAAAAAATCTGGATGTAACACTATACTATCTAAATATTACAGAAGATCTCTGTATGTAACAACATACTATGTATATATTACAGAAAAATTCTGGATGTAACACTATACTATCTAAATATTACAGAAGATCTCTGTATGTAACAATATACTATGTATATATTACAGAAAAACTCTGGATGTAACACTATACTATCTAAATATTACAGAAGATCTCTGTATGTAACAATATACTATGTATATATTACAGAAAAACTCTGGATGTAACACTATACTATGCAAATATTACAGAATATCTCTGTATGT